CTATGAACCAGGAGGTCACGGTCAATTCCCGGTCAGGGCACAGGCCTGATCCCCAGTGCGGGGCGTGCAGGAGGCAGCTGATCCATGATTCTCTCTCATCATTGATGATTCTATCTCTCTCTCCCTCTCCCTCTCTGAAATCAATAATAATAATAAAAATAACATATTAAAAACTGTTTTCCATTAGCTTCCGTTGACATTTATCACTTCATATAAACACATTGGAAAACGGTGATTTCCTCCTGTTTACCGCATGGTGATGGATTTATGGGGAGAAAAAACTGTGTTACCGACCTCGCATTTTTCATTCTTCAGGAGGTTTCTGACTAAGCAGAGCTACTTACAAGTGGTTAAGTGACCTTTTTGTCTGATGCAGAAGAGAGTTAAGTCAAAATTTGTTCTAGAGTTTCTACTTTCAGTTCAGCAGATCAGTTACATTCTAGGAGTGACGTTATGGCTGTTATGTCTGCATGCCACTGAGTCGCATTTAATGCCAAATGGGTTGAAAGGCTGAGGACTCCCAGAGGCAGCTGGGCCTGTGTCCGAGGTGCCGCCACCAGCTGTGAGGTCCCGTCGTCACCTGAGCCTGTGACTTGAGTGAAGTTAAACAGGAACTTGACGTACACTCCCTGCTCCATTTCATGCCTCGTGATCAGACCCCTCCTGCTCACAGCCATGGCCCGGGGACGGGGGCGCGGGTGGTCCCTCCTTCCCATTTTCCTGCCTCACTGAACAGCTTGTCCATTGGGTGCTCTCCGGCCGCTGTGCTGCTTGGTGTGGTTTCGAGGGCGTTGAGCTTCGAGCAGGAGGCGCGGGACCTGGCTTTGTCTCCGTTGTCGTCAGTGTATTGTGTCTTTCTGTCGTTATTGATCAATTTAACTCATTCTAACATCTTTATAGGAAATTGTATGCAAGGAAATCAATCTGTTAGTTCAATTATGTGGAAGGACTGGCTTAAGAAGTCATGTTGCAAGGAGTTGACTTCCTTAACTCTTCATTCATTCAGCAAATTACTCACTGGACTTCTCACTGAGAATAAAAAAATGATTCAAACAGAAAGCCTGTCCTCAAAAGAGATCTTTCTCTCTGTGTGAGGACACCGGCCACAGGAAATGCTCTGAGGAGGCTGCTGGTTTGATCCCGTCTGGGCACATGCCCTGTTCCTGGCTTGATCCCCCAATAGGGGGCGTGCAGCCGATCAGTGATGTTTCTCTTCCATCGATGTTTCTATCTCTATCCCTCTCCCTCCTTCTCTCTCTAAAAATCAAAACATATTAAAAAATATTTGGAGATAAGATGTAGGTTTTTTATAGCCATCGTTTTCCTGTCTCTTATTACCAGCCTTTCATTCAGCACCGTTTAGTCCTAGGCGTTGGGGGGAAATGTCCTCAGCACTGGAAGGAACTTAAGAGGTAAAGTAACACATAACCGCTGCCATCGAGGGAGGCGTGTGACCGGGACAGGTGGTGCACAGGTGGTGCGTTCGGGTGCTCGTTGGTTCCCTCCCCGACCTCGGACGTGGGTGGAGTGTGGCCCTTCACTTGAAGTAGAAGCTCAGAGTCTGCCGCTCTTAGGAGCGGATCACTTTGTTACTCTATTTTAGTTTAAAAACCAAGTCCCTTAAGAAGAACGCTTCATCCCTTAATTAAAAACTCAATTAAGCCAAAACCGGTTTGGCTCAGTGGATAGAGCGTCGGCTTGCGGACTGAGAGGTCCCGGGTTCGATTCCGGTCGGGGGCATGTACCTGGGTTGCGGGCACATCCCCAGTGGGAGATGTGCAGGAGGCAGCTGATGGATGTTTCTCTCTCATCGATGTTTCTAACTCTCTATCTCTCTCCCTTCCTCTCTGTAAAAAATCAATAAAATATATATTTTTTTAAAAAAAACTCAATTAAAAAGAAAAATTTATCCAAGCTGTCATAAGGGTGGTTCATATTATTCTTAGAGGGTCTAAAGGTTCACGTCTTTTAAAAATATTTTTTTATTGATTTCCGAGAGGAAGGGAGAGGGGGAGAGAGACAGAAACATCAACGATGAGAGAGAATCACTAATCGGCTGCCTCCTGCACGCCCCACACTGGAGATCAAGCCTGCAACCCGGGCTGTGCTCTGACCGGGAATTGAACCCTGACCTCCTGGTTAAAGGTCGATGCTCAATCACTGAGCCATGCCAGCTAGGCTAAAGGTGCACATTTTGAAATAATTTTATTCTACTCATTGGAAAACCCATATGAAAGACAAAAGAAGTCATTTTCAGTATTACAGTAGCGATGTCATGAAAACATGCGAAATTCCACCTAATCTCTCAGTGGGAAAGAAATTAAGACTGTACCTGGATGTTGGGTTCTTCTCTTGTACATGGATAATAATATAGCACGGCTATTACTGTCTTGATCAATTTTTAAAAGGAACAGCCTTTTAGTTCTTGAGAAGTAACCTAGTGTTGTGTACGTAAGTTAGTCAGGTGGATATTTTAGCTTCTGACCCCACTACTTGTAATTTTGGTAACTTGACTGACAAAGTCCAGGTGCTTTGTTTTTGTTTGTTTGTTTTTAATCCTCACCTGAGGATATTTTTCCCAATGATTTCCAGGGAGTGGGAGGGAGGGAGAAACATTGATGTGAGAAAGACACCTCAATTAGTTGCCTCCCACATGCACCCTTACCAGGGCTGGGCTCCAAGAGCTTGGTTCATGCTCTCTCCGTGAGTGAGGTGGTGAACAACACTTCTGTGACTTCCCCACCAGTGAGGGTGACGTGCCAGAGCTCACAGATCTGACTGCTGTCGTTAGAGGAGACAGTCAGCACATTGTACCGGGTTTGCTTGGGTCTGTGAGTAGGTGAGCTGCCGCAGCCTGGGATGACAGGGAAAGTTAAGGTTTTCCATGGGTTGTGAGATGAAGAATACAGTGGTTTCGTTCCTCCATGTGCTCCGCTGTTTCATAGACTACTGTCTTTCTGTCGCTGTCCTGTCTGTGTGTTTCTGTCTGCGTCTGTTTTTCTCTCACTTGTTCCACAGACTGCCTCCTTAACTAGAACTTATGGATCGTATATGCAGTGTTTTCCAAAAATATACAGTCAGAGCACGAAGTTTCCGTAATGGACTTGAAATTCCTGTGTACCACTTTCTGCCTGTATGTCTGGATTTAGGTATTTAAAGTTAAGTCCGTTTGCTTGTTTACTAAGGATGAGCGGAATGGAAAGGAAAGTCCCAGCGGGCAAGGCAGGGCCGTCCCAGGTTGGGCCCGGTGCTCAGTACCGAGAGGCACACGGCAGGGAGCGTGGACCCGCCACCACTTATTCACAGTCCAGGCGGGGACGGGCACGGGCACATGGGGAAATGGCGGGCATTTCAGGTGGTGGAGGAAAGCCAGGGGATTGGGATAAAAGTCAGTTTGGGCCCTGGCCAGCGGGCTGGCCCGCACACCAAAGGGCTGCGGGTTCGATCCCTGGCCCCGGTTGGGGCGCATGCAGGAGGCAACCAGTCGATGTGTCTCTCACATCAATGTTTCTCTCTCCCTCTCTTCCTCCTCCCTCCCTTCCACACTCTCTGAAAAGCAATGGAAAAAATTCACACACACACACAGCTGGTTTGGGACAGAGGCAGCGTGTAGAGGGGACGTCCTGACTATGAGCCCCAGTCCCGTGCCCTCTGCCTGGGGGACAATTTGAAAGTCTCCCCTTTCCTTGTAAACAAGAGGCTAGGACTTCCTCTCCGGGCTGTGGCGACGAAGGAAGGAGACCACGTGTGAGACGTGCCAGCCCCGGTCTGACGCATCGGTGCTCATCGAGCGGCGTCACTGCTGTGGCCTGTGGCGCAGCCTGGGTGGAGGTGGGACTCACATGTGGACGGGCAGAGCCCCGTGGAGGCCCCGAGGGAAACAGGACCGGAGGAAGGGCGAGCACAGGGAGGTGAGGCCGGAGCCAGCTCCCAAGGTGCTCGGGGAGCGGCGAGGAGACCAGTCTGCGTGGAGAGCTGGTGGGGGTCAGGCGGGGCGGTGGCTTTAAACCTGTTACCTTGGACAAGCGCTCAGTCTTCTGGGATGCTTTGGTCTTGTCCTGCTTAGGACCAGTATATGGACTTGAGGGAGAATAAAGACTCTATTTCAGCGTCTGGTGTACTTTCTGGAGAGCGTTCGCGGTCATGGGGGCTGTCATTTTTCTCTCTCTTTGCCGTCTCCCCACTCCCTTCTCTCACCTCTGTTCTCATAGGGCTTCCCCTTTCCTGGCTTCCTCTTACCCCTGTCTGGGCCCGGGTGCAGCCGGGCGCCCGCTGTACTGGGTAGACCTGCTCTTGGTGGTTGGGGCAGAGGGACTGTCACCTGTGGACTGGAAGGAACACAGCCCAGGGTCTTTGGTCTTTGAAATGTACCTGGTTTTTAAAAACTGTCATTCCAGTAACATCCACTGTGTGGTGCTCACGCATCAGAAATGAATTCTGAGACTCGTGGAAAGGGAGCCAGGAAACGTGGTGGCCACGTGTGGGAGGCTAGACTCCAGAATCACAAACACAGGAGGGAAAGGGAGCGTGCTCATGTGCCAAAGAGGCTTTGCCTGGGACTCGCTAAGTACCACTTTCAGATGCCACTCAGTGATGTCACACATTCCAGAACATTCAGGCCTCAGGTGCTGCAGGCTGTCCTCAGGTGCGGACAGACATGCAGGCAGGGTCCCAGAGCGTTCGTAGGAAGCTGTCAGGCAGCTGCAGAGCGAACCCGTGCTGTTGGTGACGTCTAAAGTGACAGCAAGACGCCAGCTCGTCCCTGTCGACGTTAAGTACGTGCTCCGACAGCTGGTCAGAGCTCCGGGCTGCCTTTCCCGTCAGAGGCTGTCGTTGCTCTGACCAAAGGTGGTTCTAAAATAAACCCTTTTTTAAAAATTTCTTTTTGGTGAGAAGCTGCGCTCTCATTTAGAACAACCTGGTTGTTGCCGTGCCGTCGGCTCTCACCGGCCGAGCCGCGGCTGCCGTCGGGGCCGTAGCTCACGGGCCTTTCCTTGCAGGTGTTCATCTCTGTGAACTGCCTGAGCACGGACTTCTCCTCCCAGAAGGGCGTGAAGGGCCTGCCGCTGAACATCCAGATCGACACCTACAGCTACAACAACCGCAGCAACAAGCCCGTGCACCGGGCCTACTGCCAGATCAAGGTCTTCTGCGACAAGGTGGGCTGCGGCGGGCGGGAGCGCGGCACCGGGCAGGCGCCCTCGGGAGAAGGGCAGGGCCTTCCCGTGTTAGGCTCGGTGTCACGTGCGGCTGTTAACGTGAAGGAGGGGTGGCAGTCACTGTTTCAGCCGCCAGGGACACATTAGAGGGGAAGAGGAGAATCTTGTTTTTATGGAAAATTGCTTTTCTAAAAATATGTTTTATTGATTTCAGGGGGAGGAGGGAGAGAGAGAGAAACATCAATGAGAGAGAAGCATCGATCAGCTGCCTCCTGCACACCCCCTACTGGGGATCCAGCCCGCAACCCTGGGCATGTGCCCTGACGGGGAATGGAACCGTGACCTCCTGGTTCATGGGTCAAAGCTAAACTACAGAGCCACACTGGCCGCGTGGAAAAATGGCATTTAATTGGGTGTGTCTGACAGTCACGCGGGCTGTGCTCTGTCCTCGGTGGCCCCCCGGCCTACCGATTCGTAGGCAGTGCCGCTATAATGTCTCACTTTACCTTTGGTGACGGACCATGATTTCTATTTCTAATCCGCATGGATGTCTACGGCCATACCACCCTGAACGCGCCCGATCTCGTCTAATCTGCATGAACTCATACTTCTGTAAATGACAATAACAATGCCTATGAATTGCTGGGAAAATGAAACAAAGTTATACAAGCTGCAAGCCCCATTTTTAATTACTGACTCAGCATACTTAAACGTGTCCTATCTAATTGCTTCCCAAATGCCTTCTCAATTTCTGGTGTGTTTTCACTCAGACCACAGCAGGCTGTGGACTGAGGCTGCTAGTCCACGGTCGCACTTTGAGTTTTGCTGTATTAGAGGCGTCAGCACAAGTTAGCACGAACTGAAGTTTTCCGTGTCCGGCAGTAAACACTGAGCAGGCAGCTGCCGGGAGAAAGACCAGAACTGATTCATGCTCTTAAACACATTTGGTTCCAACATCAAGACCCTGAAGGAAGCTCCTGTGTCGGTAGCCGACCTAGAAACGGAAACGCAGAGAAGCTCACGAATTGCCCAGTTACTTTATGAATCAGCGGCCGCCCTGCCGCGTGCGTGCGTGCTGATGGGTTCTGGGGAGCAGAGGCCTTCTCTCCGAGGCTGCGGAATGGAGTGGTTGGGACGACACCGAACCCCTTCCGGTGTCACTGCTGCCTGCGTGTGCACGTAGGTCACCTGTAAGGCAGCACCTGTCCCGGGTCCTGGGTCCCAGGTCAGGTGTTCAGGCCGAGTCGGGGGCTGGTCCATGATTGGTGTAAGCGCTGTGCGGCGAGAAAGGCAGCCCCACGCAGCGCGGAGAGACGCGGGCTCTGCCGCATCCCCTCGGCCTTCATGGCGGTGGCTGCCTCTGTAAATCCCCTAAAAATACCCTTCCGGCTGCCCTGCTTGCTGGGGCAGGGACCGTGCAGGCGGGAGTTGCTGTGTCCTCCTGCGTTCAGACCTGTGACACAGGGGTGGTCAGAAGCGTCGTATCATAGCCGGGTGCCCAGGGACATAGAAGGTGCAGTTACACACTGTTCTCATCCCCAGTGTCTGTTTTTGTTTTTGTTGTTTTGTTTTTTTTTTAAATCGTCCCGTTTTTTATCTCAGGGCTGTCATGGATCATATAAAAATCCTGCAGGAGAAGAAAATATTATGTATGTGTTTTGTGTCATTAATTTTCAGCCTTTGAACTTTTCAGCCACGTGCGCCTCCTGTGCGCCACCCCATCGTGGTCCTAGGTCTGTCCTTGCTTACGGTTGAGGTGGCTGCTTCTCGTCGGGGTTCGTCCTCTGCTCCTCTCTGTGCAGCATCCCCCCTGCCTCCTGATTCTCCTCTTTCTGAGGTTCGATTCCCGTGGCACTTGGTGCCGGTCTGCTCATGTCCCGCTGCTGGCTCGCAAGCGCTCACATGTAGGAGTCTGGTCGACCTTTAGTCAGACACTAAAGCGAAGGCGCCTTTTGTACCTTCAGAGGCGCTTGCAGGTCTCCCAAGAAGTGTTATCAGTACTTGACTGTGAGTTGCTTAATTAGTTTGGCAAATAGAATTTTCTCTCATTTCAGAAACAGCAACAATTTAGTGCTTTTTCAGAGAAAATGGGACAGAAGTTGGGTGGCTGACAGTGGAAGCCTGGCATCCCCTCTCTCTGAGCTCATGCGCACCCGGTCTGTCCTAGGAGAGAAACGGCCACTGACACTGCTTCCCACGTCAGTTTGCCCCCTCACCCACGTCTCGGTCACTGCGGCTGTGACCGGGCTCGCTGCGTCCGTGAAGGCAGCGACAGGCCAGCGAGCTTCCCAGCTGTGCATGCAGCCTGGCCACAGCCACTGGGGAGGGGAAGTTGCTGCTGTTTCCCTGTGATTCCATAGAGTTAAACATGGTTTAGAATAGGCTTTTCAGCCCGGCGGGTGTGGCTCAGGGGCTGAGCATCGACCTAGGAACCAGGAGGTCAGGGTTCGATTCTGAGTCAGGGCACAGGCCCGGGTTGTGGGCTCGATCCCCAGTGGGGGCGCGCAGGAGGCAGCTGATCCATGATTCTCTCTCATCGTTGGTGTTTCTATTCCTCTCCCTTCCCCTCTGAAATCAATAAAAAAAAATTTTTTTTTAAATAGGCTTTTTAGAGGAAACTGCGTGATAAGCTCCAGGAACGTAATAGGCAATGGGCCCATTTCCAAGAGGAGCTGTCCCACCCCCACCGCTGCGGGGGAGAGTCACATATTCTAAAGAGGATCAGATAAACAGAATCATGTTTTCTCTTGTCTTGTCTTGACCTATAGGGAGCCGAACGGAAAATCAGGGACGAAGAACGAAAACAAAGCAAAAGAAAAGGCAAGTGCCCTGGCCGCTCCCAGGTGAATGCCGGTGAGCAGGACCGTGGCCTCCGGGGCTCAGCCCCTTCCTTTCGGAGCCCAGCCAGCCTGGGCTTCCCCGCAGGAGCCAGCTGTCTGCTTCCCTGCTGTGACGGAGGCCCGGCTCCCACCACCAGCTGAGGCAGAGGGTGGTCGGGGTGGTCTCCCAGGGGGGATGGAGGGCGCGGGTGGGCTCCTGACTCTGCCCGCGTTTTGGCTGTCACTTCCCGCGCAGCCGCTGGTGGCAGCCTGGTGAATAGCTGATGACAAACTCGGGACTTGCCTGGGTTTTTAAGAATAACAACACCCCTGAGAGCTCAGGGTGTCTTCATTCCAGATGAGCAGCTTTCCGCTGTCTCACATTCTAGCGTTTGCAGAATCTACAGAGCCTCCGTTTAGACATCTCGCCAGGAAAGCCTTTCTCTTTTTAATGTGACCGATATTCACACTCACAAAACCCTCTCTCGCCGTGAGGGAAAACTGCTCTCTGCCCGCGGTTCCCTCCGCAGGGCGTGGGCGCTGCATCTGTTCTCCGAGCGGTGGCTGGCTCGGTGGACATTCGCCCCTTGGCGCAATAATCAGGGGCCCCTGCCGCCTCGGGGTGCCCGATGCCCCTCCAAGGAGCACAGGTGCTGGCTGGGAAAGCTGTCGCTGAGGCCTCCGGGGCGGGAGGAGGACCCTACAGCCTCATAAAGGAGAAGTCGGACATGGTGCCCTCAGCCTTGCTGAAGGGAAGGAGCAGGGAGGGGTGTCGGAGCGAGAAGAGGCTTGTGTTAGAATGTGAATTCCTCCATGCGGGCAGCTACGGTGAATGCCACTGAGTTCTGTCCATGCACTTCCCATCTTTGAGCCTTTCAGACAGAGCGGTGCTTTGCGTCTGTTCCTGATTGTGTGTGCGTGTCTGTGTGTGTGTCTATGTCTCTCTGTGTGTGTGTGCGTGTCTGTGTGTGTCTATGTCTGTGTCTGTGTGTGTGTCTATGTCTCTGTGTGTGTGTGCCTGTGTGTCTGTTTCTCTGTGTGTGTCTGTGTGCGTGTGTCTGTGTGTGTCTATGTCTCTGTGTGTGTCTCTGTGTGTGTGTGTCTGTGTATCTATTTCTCTGTGTGTGTCTGTGTGTGTGTGTCTATGTCTGTCTGTGTGAGTGTGTGTGTCTGTGTGTGTGTGTATGTCTCTGTGTGTGTGTGTCTGTGTGTGTGTCTGTGTGTGTCTATGTCTCTGTGTGTGTCTCTGTGTGTGTGTGTCTGTGTATCTATTTCTCTGTGTGTGTCTGTGTGTGTGTGTCTATGTCTGTCTGTGTGAGTGTGTGTGTCTGTGTGTGTGTGTATGTCTCTGTGTGTGTGTGTCTGTGTGTGTGTCTGTGTGTGTCTATGTCTCTGTGTGTGTGTCTGTGTGTGTGTGTGTCTGTGTGTGTCTATGTCTCTGTGTGTGTGTGTCTGTGTGTGTGTGTGTTTACAGGTGCCTTCTCCTCTGATTTTGATGAGACGTTCGATTGCTTTTAGTGTGCGAAACACCAGCAGCACACTCCTTCACACAAACCGTTTCCTCCGAGGTCCGGGACGGGGCCTGCCTCCCTCGGGGCCACGGCTGAAGCTTCTGATGGCTGAGGAGCCCGCTCCCTGCGTCCGGTCCGTACACACAGCTGCTGACTGGTGTCCCCCTTTTCAGTTTCTGATGTGAAGGTGCCGCTGCTTCCCACGCACAAACGCATGGACATCACGGTCTTCAAGCCCTTTGTGGATCTGGACACGCAGCCTGTGCTCTTCATTCCCGACGTGCACTTCGCCAACCTGCAGCGGGGCCCTCACGTACGTCGCAGGGTGCCAGGGCGGCTGCAGGGACGGGAGGCTCAACCGAAAGGAAGGCTTTGTAGACAAGCCAAAGCTGAGTGAGGCGTGCCCGCGCCCGGGTCGGCTCAGGGAGTGTCCGCGGGCGAGGGGATGTCCTCGCAGTCGAGCTGTGTGAGCGCCGTTGGACACGCAGTGCCAGACCCGTCACCTAAGGCCGCTTGGTGGTGGTGGTTGGTGATCCTCACCCGAGGATATTTTCCCATTGATTTTTAGAGAGAGTGGAAGGGAGGGGGAGAGACAGAGAGAAACATCGATGTGAGAGAGACACATCCATTGGTTGCCTACCACACATGCCCAGGCCAGGGCTGGGGCTCGAGCCTGTATCTCAGGTATGCATCCTCGATCGGAATCAAACCCGGGATCCTCCTGTCTGTGAGCCAACACTCCATACACAGAGCCAAACGGCCAGGGCCAGGTTCTGTTTATTTCGCTTTTAGCTCATTTAAGGTGCTAGCATAGTCACATAAGTTGGAGTTGGAGTCTTTGGTCTCGTGGACTTAACTTCTGTGGGTCTGGATGAGAGGGAAGAGCCAGAGGGGTTCGTGGGGTCAGGCAGCCTCATGGCATGAAGAGCGAGGTTTCAGGCACTGGGTCACCATTGCGCACAGACAGCCGTGTCTCGGCGACCAGAGGCTGGTGGCGAGAGTGTGAGCAGAGTGGAGCGCGCTTTCCGCCCTGAGCTCAGATGCACGGGGGAAGGCGGTCTGAGCACACGGCAGGCATCCAGGTTCGTGCGGACTCCTGGTTTTTAGAGTCTCGGGGGAAGCCATTGCTAGTGTCTTCAGTTCTAATGAGAAGCTTTGGCAAACTTTTTCTGACAAGGGCCAAGTGATAAACGCTTGGTGTTTGTGGCCGTCCGGTCTCTGCTGGGATGACGTCACCCGCGGCTTGTAGAGCCCCGGCAGGCGTCACTGCCCCACAGGGCCTGCGCTGGCCGCGGGCCAGCAAGCACTTTCTGTCCTCGCCCTGGCGGGCCAGGCTCGCTGCCGCCCGAGGTGGAGGAGCCTGGCATGTCTCCGAGAATCTGGTCGATGAAAATGAGGCGAAAGGTTGTGTGTTCGCTGGGTCAGATTCAAGATCACGTCCGTTTGAGGAATAACTTACTTGTGGTCTGAACTGCTGTGCGCATGTCCTTGAAAAGCACCCGTTGTCTTGTCTGCAGGTCCTTGCCATGGCCTCGGAAGAACTGGAGGGGGAAGGGTAAGATTATGCTTTGTTTTGTTCTAGTAAGTTCTTTTTATTTTGGAACAATCTCAAGATAAAAATGCCTAGTCTGATAGAAAGAACTCAGGTTTCCCTGAGCCCTTTGACCTGGTGACCGTCATTGCTCAGCACTGAGTGTGTCTCCTGCATCTGGGGACGAGGACGTGCCCCCGCGTGACAGGACAGTGACACGGACACGGGCCCAGGCGGCACTTGCCTCACTCGGGTCTCGCCAGGTGTTGCAGTCTGGCCTTTGGAGCGGGAAGGGGGCCAGTGCGGACCCACTCGGCGCCCACAATCCGGCGCCCATCTCTCCTCCAGTCCCTGAGCCAACACCCTGGCAGGTTCCAGCTGTTCTGTGGACTGCCCCCAGTGTGGCCTCCTGGTTAGACGGGATCGTGCCCCTGGGCAGGAAGGCCCGACCCTGCTGCCTTCCCCGGAGGCCGTCTGGCGGCACACTGCCCGCTGCTGCCCGACGCAGGGGTGTCACCAGGCTCCTCTCCTGTGATAAGTGCTTTGTGGGGAAGGCGCTTTGTAGCTTTGTAAACCCCTCCTCCCTCATCACACTTTCAACTCATTCCCTTATTTCTATCAGTGTGGGCTCGCGGTTTCCCATTGTGTTCAGTAAGCTGTAGCCCAGCACTGTCGCTTGTCTGCTCTGCTTGTCCCCAAGGCCAGCAAAGGCCCCCAGTTGCTCCCAGACCCTCCGACAGGCCCTCCCCGCCCCCCCATCCCCAGGGCCTGGCGCTCCCCCACCTCGGGCAGCTGTTCCAGGCACAGTGCTTCCCTGCTCCCCGGACCCTGCTCCGCCTGGTGAACGGCTCAGACCCGGCTGGGCGCTGGGTGTGCACGCAGCCATTGAGGTATTGCCGTCCCCCCACAGTGGGCACCTCCTGAGCCTCTGGGCCCTGACTGCCACCTGGCAGCCTCCTACCCGGTGCTCCCCGTGGGGAGGGCCCTCTCTGGGCCCTGTCATAGCTCCCGTCCGTGGTGCCTGCGGTGGCCTCACTGCCTCTGCGGTGCTCAGACCTAGGCGCTACGCGTGCTTTCCTAGGAGGCCTCGTCGGTTCCAGACGCCGGGACAGAGGGTTTGAAACCCAACCCTGTTCTTGAAGCGATGATTCTGCTCAAAGCCAAGCACGCGCTCTCTTCATCTCCAGTCACTTTGCTGGTTTTCGCTCACCCCTCCGAGCCTCACGTTAACACCCATAACATGCTTTTGACAGCCAGTCCCGCCAACCTTTTCACTTCTCTCTCTGGCTCCCCCTCGCTCCCCTTTATTTGTTGTTGCTGTTAATCTCACCTAAGGATAGTTTTCCACTGATTTTTAGAGAGAGTCAGAGGAAGGGGGAGAGACACAGAGAGCCATCGATGTGAGAGAGACAGAGAGACTGGCTGCCCCCACACACGCCTGTTCAGTCCCTCTTTCCGGAGCCTCCTGTTTGTGACCACAAAATAAGGAGGTTGGAGCTTAAGGAGTGAAGGTCACCCCAAGTCTGAGCTCGGGGCCCTGCCCGAGGCCCGTTGGTTTCACAGGCGCCTGGGGTGGAAGTCTCTCACTGTGCCTTCGTTTCCGCAGCTCGAACTTGAAGAGGGGGCCGTACGGGTCCGAGGACGATTTTGTGGTCCCCCCGCCGGCTAAGCTGGCCCGGACCGAAGAGCCGAAGAGAGGTGCGTTGGCCTCATGGCTCAGCGGGAGTGTTACGTGGGAAGTGAGGTCTCAGTCCGCCAAAAGCATCAGGCGCTCAAACCAGCCTTGTCCGGTTTGACGTCCTGGTCCTGGCGTGAGCTTAAGGGAACAGCAGGGTTAAGAGAACCCGGAAGCTGTGCCCTCAGGGCGTGGTGGGCTGGTGTCTGCGGGCACCGGGGTGTGGGCGCCTCTTTATTTTAGCCGGTGCCAGGCTCTGCTTTCCCGTTTTGCGCGTGAACCGTGTCCTCTTTCCTCTCTCACCTCCCGATGCGGGTTAGTGCTGCTCTACGTGCGGAAGGAGGCAGAGGAAGTCTTCGACGCCCTGATGCTCAAGACTCCATCCTTGAAGGGCCTGATGGAGGCCGTGAGTAGTGTGCTTTGCAATAATGCTCCTTAACAAGGGAAAGCTGCCTGGCCGGCGTGGCTCGGTGGTTGGGCATCGACTTAGGAACCAGGAGGCCACATTCCCAGGCTAGATCCCCAGTGTGGGGCTCGCAACTGATTCGAATCGTCTGACCCCACAGCAAGGCCTTTGTACACTTGCTCGGAACATGTGCGGGTGTGTCTCTGTGCATTTGTCAAAACCCCTGAGTGTACAACACAGAGGACGCAGTGAACACGGTGGACTTGAATTCGCAACCTTGTGCTCGTTGCCTATGACAAGTGCAGGCACTGATGTGAGAGGTTAATTCATAGCTGGTACCTGGGGAGCAACTCTGTGTTTCTGCCGGCTTTTCTACGGCTTAAAACTGCTCTGTGAAATCTTAAACACTGTGACCCGTCAGCAATCAGAAACTTAAATAATAAAAGAACTGACACATAATACATTTACGGACATCTGTACGCTCCCTCCAAAGGGAGGCGCCCCCCTCCCACCCTCCGGGCTGTAAAGACATAAGCATTTTGAAAATCAAAGTTGAGTGATTGTCCCACTATATTCATATTCACATAGTTGCTTGTTAAAGCCGGAAAATGGCATTTTATCATTCTTTTTCATTGCTCTTCTCTTTTAGATCTCGGACAAATATGATGTTCCCCATGACAAGATTGGGAAAATATTCAAGAAATGTAAAAAAGGGTGAGCATTCATTCCCTGGCATTCCAGCGCCTGAGATAATTTACTCAGCGTGACTGCTGCTCACGCGCACTCGGGCCCAGTCCAGAAACCTTACAGAAACATGACTGGCAGGATGTGCTTTTCCTGAAATGACCCACATGCAGCCCAGCTCCCTTTCTCGACCTCCTCGTGGGGTTCTGCTCTTCTCCTTGGAGCAGAGCCCACTGAGGGTTACTGCTCCATTGCAGAGCCCGTCAAGGGCCAGGCTGGGTCGGGCACTTCCCGTGTGACTCACTGTTCATGTGACCCTCTGAGCTGGCTGTTCCTGTGCAGGGTTAGAGGCACAGAGCGGGAGACCTGCCCTGAGCAGGCCGGGCCAAGGCCAGGGGTCCCCGTGAGTGTTGACCGAGGCGCTGCCTTTGCTGCTGCCCCTCCCTCTCTGCCCTGGGCCGTGTTTGCAACCACAGAGCAGGGCGTCCTTGTCCAGAAAGCGGTATTTTAGTTGGAGTGTCTGTATTGTCGGGCAGGGTCAGCGGGGCAGAGAATTCTAATCCTAAAGGGAACTTTTAGATGGGCCTGGCGGGGAGGGTGGGACTTAGTGCTGATTCCGTGAAATGCTGAGGGTAACTGGCCAGGGGAGAGCCTTCGTCAGGACTGTGGCTTCAGCTCCCACAGGTGGTCTTACTGATCTGCTCTCGAAAGCCAGCCCCGTGCAGGGCCTCTGCCGTGGCCTTGCTGTGTGCGTTAGACTAGTTTATCGCTCGGTTACTACACGCTGAGCTAACAGGAAAGAAGCGAGTGTTCTGTGGAGCGCGTGCCCTGCACTGACAAGTGCTTTGCTTGAGTGCCCATTGAGCCTAGACGGGCACTGTCATCCCGCCTCACAGCTGGGGGGTCTTGGGTTAGGGCCTTAAGCGATTGGCCTCGCGTGCCCCAGCGAGGAAGCGGCAGAGCCGGCTGCCCTCGGACGCCCCGGTTTCAGGGGCAGCCTGAGCGTCCGTCTCACCCTCCCCCCAGGATCCTGGTGAACATGGATGACAACATCGTGAAGCACTACTCCAACGAGGACACCTTCCAGCTGCAGATGGAGGAGGTGGGGGGGTCGTACAGGCTCACCCTCACTGAGCTTTGAGGCGCCCCGGCCCCGCCCCGCAGTTCTACGAAGGCGTTGCCTCGGCCTCGCTGCCTGCACGGGACTCCTTTCGTGTTGGAGATGGGGCCGCACGCGGCTTGGAGGTGGCGTGGAGTGTATTGCACCGGCGCTTCTCAGATGAGGAATCCATATACTATTATTACGCTTGCCTTTGCTGATATAAATACTTAGGGATAAAAGTGAAAACTCTGTTCCAAGATCTAATCCTCTCTGGGAACCTTTAGGATATCTGCTATGTTATTTATAAAAGTATTTTTTATTACAGGTTCAATTCAATATTATGTGGTATTAGTGTCAGGTGTCCAGCAGTGGCCAGGCTATACAACTATTGGGCTCTCCCCGTCTTCAGTGTTAGCGGCCTGCCCAGTGCAAGTCAGAAAAGGCAGTGGGTGTGGCTTAAGGCTTCGGGGGCCCGGCCTGAACTCGCTGTCACTACCTGCCTCAGGGTAGTGGGAGCCCCGTCTCAAGAACAAAGGATCCACCCTCTCCCATGGCCTCCCCCCCACCCCCCCCCGTTCATGTTTACTCCTGCAGAGCGCGTTACAGGAACCGCCCGTCTCGACTCACTTGAAGCACCCGCTGCCTTTCTCATGAAGACCGGGGGCCCGGGGGGCGGTGGCAAGCTAGCGCCACAGCGTACGTGAGTGCAATACGGTTCCCGAGGCCCGCGTCTGTAAATGTGTACATACGTGTCTATACAGATAGATAATATATGCGTGCGGTGTCCGTGGGCACACACGGAGAGATGCGATGACGGCGACCTGAGAGACTTGGCCTGACGGGAGGCTGAGTTATTTTGATCATTAACGTCTGCTGGGCGGAATCCAGAGCACGCAGTCCTCCCGAGCGAACAGGCCTGCTCAGGGGCCGCGGCTCGCCCTTGAGCTGCTGTCATCGGGTCTGCACTGTTTACACATGAAGTAAAGGGAAGACGCCCGCGGTGGCTGCCTCCGCGCGTGGTGTGTGCGAACGTCAGCCCTGTGGCCTTGGCGCGACAGACAGCGATGCAGCCGGCGCAGCTCTGACCTCCCGGCCTCCCTGCCAGCGGGAGGGCGTCCTAGGGCGTCGCAGCGCCTCGCGCCTCGATTACCTGTGCACTCACGTGTAGAAGCGGTCACGGGTTGATGAGACTCACGGGCAGGGGGACGTCCTGTACATGTTAAGTATCTGGGAAGACTACACAGTTGTTTTACAACAGATAAAATCACGGGTATCTGTCGGGTCAGGGAACTAGTTTGTAGAAGTAGGATGGGTAGCTGCATTCTTGCGTTAAAATGTCCTAATGAAGTAGGTGAACTGAATTGCTGGTTTTCTAAAATAAGGGACACGGGTCATATGACAATATTTTCTATTGTGTTTTATGAAATTGATTTTGTCTTGTTTACTGTTTTAATTGTATCATTGAAGATATGTTTTAAGCCAACGGGATTAAATGTCTGCCTCTCTCATATGACGTCATTTCCTGTTTGAATGTGCCTTTCCTGAGGCAGGCAGCCAGCAGGATGTGAGATCTTAGAGGCAGAGCCGGGGTGTCTCCCGCGCAGTTTGCTGGTGCCCAGCACGCGTCCTCGGCTTCGTCCCCATCTGCATGTCCCCCCAGGGCTCTGCGACAGTCCGAGTCATGGTTCCGTGGGGGGCCCTAAATAACAAGTTTAAACTGTTAACCAAATGTAACCGCGAGAGCCGCGGGTGAAGCCTTTAGGCCTAAAATCTTCGTGTTCTTGGTTTTTAAAAGCGGCACAGAAAGGGTTTGGTTTAAAATCTACCAGTAACGTTTCAGTTCTTCAGGATTTCGAAATCAAACAGCCGCTGTGCGCATTTTCCAGTATCTGGGCCTCCCTGTGACAAACGCAGAAATACACTCCAATGGCCACGCCGTCACGTGAATGACGGACGCTCCTGGTACAGTCCCGCGACACTGCACCTTCACCCTCATCCTTGGGCCTCGAGTCGGGATCCTTAGGGGCGTCCTCCACCTCCAGGGCCTGGACTCTGCCGCTGCCACAGCTGCAGGGCGCTCCGGGGTCCCTCAGGCTCTCTGCCCCTACGTGCTGCGGCGTTTCTTCCTCCCCGTGTC